ACCAGGATAGCTTAAAAAGAATAGCTTCTAAACATAACAAATATGATTCTATTCTTTTGCTACTGTGAATATAATGACTGTTTTATGTCTCATGCCACTAAGAAACATTACAATGACTAAGACAACTGTATCAATAACATCAATCCTTTAAAAGAATCAGTGAAAATAATAAGGACATTCATTAAGAACAAAATGAAACAGTGAGGTGAAAAGGTTATGAAATAATGTTAAGTGAAAAAACTAAATTTGTATTTAATTATCTTTATACTGAAATCCATACAAATGATAGAAGAAACATAAAAACTTTTTCAAGGAAATGAGGCTGTGAGTTGATTTTTCAATATTTTTCTTTACTATTATATGATATGTGAGAACTAAATAAAAGCAAGAGGGAAAAAAAGAAGAATGAATGAACCAGGTCGTGGCTGATGGGCTTAGAGTTACTTGGGAAGGTATGAGAGCTACAGAAATGATTAAGCCTTTTTTTTTTCCTTTTCCCTAAGACTCTGACTGTGTTTCTTCTTACTGTTAACAAAAGAAATAACCTTTGTTAAGAATGAAATGATGATGGGTCTTTGATATTCTCTCATCTCTGAATACAGTGAATGTGAATGAAAGATCTCAGGAAGAGTTTTCAAAAAGCTTGTTGCTCAATCACCAACCTTCCGGAGGAGTTGTGCATTGACTGCTGCCTGGGATAAGGTCAACAGAAACTGCCATAGCTCTCAAGGCAAGCACATGCTGGTAATGACAAGCTGCTGGGACTGAAAGCTGCATTTCAGCCTCAATCCCAGCACCGACTCACCATGAAGCTCTTTGATCTCCTGATGGACCTTTCATGAGGACACACCACACTTAACTAAACCCTTGACCTAACAGACCTAGACAGAAGATGAAACCAAAGACAGCTGAGGGATTTGGTATTTTAGTCATGTTCTTTCATGTGTCAGTATCTTTAAGGTAAGCTCACACAAAGGTGGCCATGAAGTGGTTAAACAGCAAAATCCCTGACTTCTGTAGTTAGTAAGAAATGTCTAAGACAGCATGTCATAGAATCGAAGACTTTTGTGCAGAGAGGAAGACATTGCAAGTCAGATTCATTCATTCATTTCTATTCATTCATTCTCTTCAACAAACATTTAGGAATCTGCTACTATCTGTCAATATCTCAGCAGAGCTCTGGGGAAAGAGAGACAAATTCTACATGGCCTATGATTTTTGACCTGGGACAATTCTCTACCACTCTTCTGCTAACAAACAAGCCCCTCCCCAGCACCAAAGGGTTGGCCAACCACAGTAATCCGTCTCCTTGGCCTAAATCAGAACCTTTTCCCCAGAAATTTTCATCTGGAACTAACGGGAAAGACTGCCACTTGCCCTTGGAGGCACCAGTCTGGAAACCTAGTACCATCATGGTCAAACTGTCTATCACATGGAGGAACAATGTCTACAATAGTGAAGCCACCACACAGACTGACACAATGGGAGGGAGTAAAGGAGGGGAGAGAGAAGTGGGGAAAGGTAGCAAAAGGAAGGTAAGAGGGAGACCACTTGGCATTGTTTAGCCTAGATCCAGTCATGCCAGACACCAGCACCAGCAGCACCACCACCCATAAAAAAAAAAAAAAGCAATTTTATGATCCTGACTCAATAATTCTTGCCCTTCTCCATGCATACTTTTTTCTTTTTGCTACACTGATTTAACTACCTGATGTTGAGAGAATTTACATGAAATCAGAGAATTTGAGGTCAATTTAGTAGCCCAACAACCATATACATAACTAATTGCAAAAAAAGTGTGATGAGGCATAAATATACAGTCATGGTACAAAAGAATGATCAGCTTGGACAGTTTCTAGTCCATCAGCCAAAACTTAGTTTATTCTTTTTTAGGGCATGTTACCTGTACTCAATAAATACTAAGACAAAGAAAAAACAACATGTAGGTGCCTTCTTACTCAAGAAAGGCTCTGTGATACTGGAGGTAAGTTTGGAAGAATATGGACTTGTAAAGCTGAGGAACTAGGTAAGATGCAAATGGAAAGGTGTTAGAAAAAAATAGTCCTATGGTTCAACAGGTGTGATATGCTTGGTGTGCTAGATTAGAGACATCCACAAATTCTTTGCTACTCCTGCTATTAAGAGACAGGGTCTCATTCCCCCACCCCTAAAACTGGGCTGGCATTTAGTGAAATTTTATGAAATCTGGATCCTTGAGTATCTATTTTTTTCATGGGGTAAGATGGAAAAGAAAGCACTTCTGCTGTGTAAAGATGTTTTCAAGACATTATGAGAAATATCGTGAAAAGGCAAATTTATAAAGATAGTAAATTTGTGGTTGCCAAGGACTCGGGGATAGGAATGGGAGTGATTGAAAATGGGAATGAGGTCCCTTTGAGGTGAGGGAAATGTTCTAAAATTATGTTGTGGTAATGGTTGTACAACTCTGAGAATATAGGGGAAAAAATTGAATTGTACACTTTAATAGGGTGAATTTCATGGCATGTGAAATAAAGTTTTAAAAAAGTTGTGTTTTCTCTTGAAAAACACAACGTACTAAAGCTAATACAGGAGGAAATAGAAAATCTGAATGAAATTAAATATCAATGAAATAGAATCCTTCAAAAAAACCTTCCCACAAAAAAAAAAAAAAACTTCAAATCAAAATTGCTTCAGTGATGAACATTTAAGGAAAAAAATAATACTAATCTCACACAAAATGCTTTCAGAAACTAAAAAAGAGGAGGGAATCATTTCCAACTAATTTTATAAGATGAGCATAACATTGAAATTTCCTTCTATTCCTAGACTACTGAGAGTTCATAAAGAAGTGTTAAATTTTACTTAAATTTTTTTCTACAATTATTGAGATGATTATATGGATTTTCTCATTTATATAAAAAGGATATGAACAAGTGGGATTTATGCCAGGAATGCAAGCTTGGGATAAGCATTAAAAGCACAAATTATAAAAGACTGTTTAGGTATCATTAAAATTAAAAATTTCTGTTCATCTAAAGATACCACTAAGAGAAGAAAAAGACAAACCACTGATGGGGAGAAGATAACTGCAATCATCCAATGGTATACCAAGGGCAAGGTAGTGGGAAAGTCTGCCCTGGGTGCAGATAATAAAAGTGTTCTTTGTCAGAGGAGAACATAAAAGCAATAATAAAACTGACTGGAATTCCATCTGTACTTTATTATTACCATGCACTGGAAATTCTAAACAATATCATAATAAAATACCCATCTAGAAAAAATATATTTTGTTAGTCTAAGTTCTAAACTAAAGTATGATCTACAAACTTGTAGTAACCTAAGATCCTTCGAGGAGTTCATGGAATAAAAATATTTTCATAACTAAAACACTGTTTTACCTTTTCATTGTGTTGACAATGTGCACTGATGGCCCAAAACAATGGTGAGTAAAATTGCTTATTCCTTAGCAGGAATCAAGGCAGTGGCACAGACTGTACTGGTACCCATTGTATTCTTCCCCACTACACAGTCATGGTTAACAACAATAACAAAAAACCTAGTTTTAGTTAAGAATATCCCAAATGAAGCAATAAAAATTTTATTAAGCCATTTCATTTTTAAATTAAAAATTTTAATTAACTTTTTAAAATGTATTAAAACATTTAATTTTATTAAATCTTAAGTGTTCTCACCACCAAAAAAGTGATGACTATGTGAGGTGACTAATGATGACTAATTAATATGTTAATTAGCTTGACTGAGGTAATCATTTCACAATATAACATAAATATATATAATTTTACTTGTCAACTATATGTAAATAAAGCTGGCAAAAATAATAAATTTAAAAATAAAAAATTGTGTTAAATTTGGACCCTTTAGTAAATTTGTGATAAAATGGAAAATAAAGTACTTCTGCCATCTCAAGGGAAAAAATATTTGTAATTATATGAATATAAGTTAATCTAGCCACTTCTTTTTTTAATAGGACACCAGCTTGACTTGAAAAAACAACTAATATACTATAGTTATTCAGAGTTAGTTATTTAGTAGACATTTTCTTTAAAATGGCTAAAGTAAGCCTGGCACTTCACCAAAACAACTGAAATATTTGTTATCTAAAATATGAGCTATCAAACCCAAACTGCATGTTGGAAACATATTTCTGCTACTGTGAGCATTAATGCTGCTTGTGAGCTTAAAAAGTCTTCTGATGAGGTTGGTAGTAATATTAACAAATGTGATGTTTTTGCTATTGTAAAATGAAATGTGTCAACATGTGGAAAAGCTGCATTAACTCAGAGAATTAGTATTTTCCAAATTGTCAATTCATAATGCTACAAAGTCATACATGAGTAAAAAGATTCTTTCAGAGTGTAAGAAAGGTCAACAGGTTTTAATGTAACAGAGTATGAAAAGTTCATTTACATAGTTTCAGAACATATTACAACTAACCTGTAAAAAATTACCTCTTGCCAAGTTTTGGTGTAGTAGCAAAGAATAATATCTGCAATTATTTAAAAAGGCTATGAAAATACCCTCTCTCCTCCAAGTACATATTTGTGTAAGGTCAGATTTGTTTCATTTACTTGAACTAAAACAACATATTGCAACAGATTGGATGCAAAGGCACATTTGAGACCCTAACTGCACCAAAGTAAAACAATACCCCTGTTCTCACTAAATTTTATTTTGTTTTGTTTTGGAAAACCAATTATTTTCATAAATGTATATTATATATATTAATATATGGAACTTATTTGTATAGTTTTATGGTGTAAACTTAATCTTCAAACAAATATTTACACTTTTCCTGGGTTTTAATTTCTAATAGGGTAAATATCAATTGATATAACTGACACAAACAAAAGCAAAGAGCTCAGTAATTACTAAGAGTACAATGATGTTCTAAGACCAAAAAGTTTACGCACTGCTGTTCTAAGCAACTGCTATTATATTATTATTTAATGTTGCTAATATATATGTAAGTATCAAATTAGTACTTTTTTATTACTTACTCTGCAATAAGCATTTTATTCTCCATGGAAGTTAGAGAATCCACCTCACAGTTCACTAAACACAGTCTCAGCTACAAGTCTTCATTTGAGAGAATAATTTCATAATGATTCAGAGTCATTCAGGCTCGCATTGCACACAGTTCTTGTCTCCAACTCTGCGGTAATACATACTCCTGCATTTAAACAGTGGATTCAAAATAAAACAATGATAGAGAAGTGATTATAAAAACAAACAGTTACTTCAATTCTGTCATTTAGTGTCACCATTTAAAGCTTTGTTTCTGTTAAATTTTAAAACAATGAAATAGTATTAAATGAATGTAACTGTTTTGGTAAGTGTAAATTTTAGTTCATACATGAAATATTTTGCTAAATTTTATATTATCTGTAAAACTGAAATGCATCCTTTTTAAATTGTTCATTGTTTTTAAAGTAAAAAAATAAGAAAATTTTTACTGATTATTACATTACTATTGAGCAATAATTTTGTCCTATAACAGAGAGGAATGTTAACAAATTATCTTCTTGAGGTGTCATACACACTAGGTATTTCACTGCTAACACCATAATGAATGGTTACATATTGGTGTTTCTTTCTTGAGTTCAGTATCAAGGACTTGTTTTTCAAGGTGGTCCATAGCACCTTTATTCATCTGTCCTCTTTTATGTCTGATTTTTTTTTTTTTACTTAAAACTATGATTATGAAATGCATCCATGTATCATTCATACATTTATCTGTAGTTCATTTTCTTTAATCTTCTCAATCTGGTATTATTTTTCACAGCCCTGCTCATGTCAACTCTTAATGAAGCCCTCTCAACTCCTTAGACAATTAGGTTCCCCATTTGTAGTCTCTTAGCATTTTGTAGATATATAATCCAAGTAGAGCATGTATCACATTGAAGTTAGCCTATCACTGCTTTTAAGCTAGACAGCTGGAGGTAAACAACTTCTAGCCTAAGGCTTGATGCATAATAGGATCTCATTTATTTTATTAGAGTTCTCCAGAGAAACATAACAAATAGGAGATATAGATATAGATATACCTGGAGACCAGGAGGGCCGATGGTCTAGTTTCAGTCCAAATTTCAGCAGACTCAAAACACAGGAAAAGTGATATTTCAGTTCAAGGTAGGGAAAAACTTAGATCCCAGCTCTAAAGCAGTCAGGCAGGAGGAGTTCCATCTTAGCCTTTTTGTTCTTTGCAGGCCTTCAACCGATCAGACAAGGCCCACCAACATTAGGGAAGGTCATCTGTTTTACTTAGTCTACTGATAGAAACGTTAAACTCATCCAGAAAACACCCTCACAGAAAGACCCAGAATAATGTTTGACCCAATATCTGAGTACCTCATGGCCCAGTCAAGATGACACATTAAATTTAACCATCATATTTATTAATGTTTGTTGAATAAATTGGTCTTTGCCATCAATATCTCAGGAGAGGAATAGACATCCAAAGACGATACTTACAAAGCAGAATAAAATAGCAGCTAGTGAGGGGTATACAGAATTCAAATTTCATTAATCTAAGAATTAACTGTTTATCTGAGAAGAAAAAAATAAGTAAGATTCTGACAGGAGAGAACTTGTATAGTGGGGGCATAATCTTACATACAGAGGAAACAGCTTCAGCATAGAAGGTTCTTCCCCAGTTTAGATTAGGATCACAATTGGAAAGCCAATTCTTGGGTAAAGAAGGTTCCTGAGACTGGTGCTCATTTAACTAAATGAACAAAATGCTCCCCAATCTGGCAGAAATCCAAAAAAATTTTCCAGTGCTGGAATATCTACTATTGTTACCCTCAGGGATCAGTCTTGGCTCTGAGTTAGTTACCATGGCGACCATCTAAGTCTTATGCTTTTCCCTTAGTAATGTTCAAGAAAAACCAGACAGATACTTGTTCAGAAAATATTCTAATATGTGGCTTTACACCAAAATAGATGACTAGGTCCTTTGTAGAAAACAAAAGCATTGAGATTTGCGCAAGAATATGAAGGCTAGCATGTCCAAAACTGCAAATCTTGATAAGAAATTATATTTGCTATTTACTTTATATTTCACTTTTCTGATTTCAAGTAAACATGTTTATTTTAGAAAATTTGAAAAACACATTAAAACCACAAAGGAAACATAAAATCACCCATAATCATTCTTATCCTTTTATGGTGGGAAAAGAATATAAAGTAAAATATATGCAAACCTATTCCTCTACCCCCATCTCTGAGATAACTGCTTTTATCAATTTGGTTCCTATCAGTCCTGACAATTTCTCTCCTGTTTATTCATTTATTGATGCAGGAAATACTTACTGAGTGAGCTCCTTGGGCCAAGCACTGTTCGACATAAGCTATTTCATTGGTAAATGAATCCAATAAGATCCCTGTTTCCACGGATGTTACCATTCTAGTGAGAAAAGACATAAAACAAACCAGTAAACAAATTAATAGGCAGAAAAATACTGGCTGGTAATAAATGTTATGCAGAAAATGCAAAGGTGGTATCACACCAGAGACTAGACTATGACAATAAAATGAGCCCTGTGAAGGTTGAGGGAAGATGTTGTAGGTACATACAACAATAGAAAAAAAGGCCTTAAAGTAGATATGAAAAGGCAGCCCGTGTGGCTGTATCGCATGGTGGGAGCGGACAGAGACAGCAAGAAAGTTATGAGAGTAGGTTGAAGATGCAGGTCTGGCACAAATCATAGAGGGCTTCTGGGAAGAAGAGTGTTGAAAAACTCCGGATTTTAAGTGCAAGAGGAAGCCAAGAGTTTTAACAGGAGAGTGATATGCTCTGATTTATACTTTTAAACTTTTCACTCTGGTTTCACTATGAAGAATAGATTCAGGACAGAGATACCCAACAGGAGGTCCACAGACACACCCAAGAAGTCCATAGATTCAGAGACTTCATTACCTTGAATGAGAAAAAATAACCTGCCCCAGCCCCTCAAAGAAGAGAAAATCTCAAAATAATTCTATTTTGTCAATCCTACAATTCTTCTTCTAAAAATAATACAAATGATTATCTATGGTTTCAAGAGGGTAACAGTAGCAAGATTCTCAAGAGGGTAAAAGTAGCAGGATTCTCAGTAAGAGTCTTCATTTTTCTGTTTTTTCTCTAAGATTGTGTTTATTTATTTTTAATTTTTTTTTTTTTTTTTTTTTGGAGTCAGAGTCTCACTCTGTTGCCTGGGCTCGAGTGCTGTGGCATCAACCTAGCTCACAGCAACCTCATACTCCTGGGCTCAAGTGATCCTACTGCCTCAGTCTCCTGAGTAGCTGGGACTACAAGCACACACCACCATGCCCAGCTAATTTTTTCTATATATTTTTAGTTGGCCAATTAATTTCTTTCTATTTTTAGTAGAAATGGGGTCTTGCTCTTGTTCATTTCGAATTCCTGACCTTGAGTGATGCACCAGCCTTGGCCTCCCAGAGTGCTAGGATTACAGGCGTGAGCCACCGGGCCCGGCCTAAGATTGTGTTTAAATCTAAACCCTATTGGAGGCCTACTAGCTTAAAGGATTTATACAAGAAAAACCTAGCCTGTGGAAGGTGAGCCCATTGAAAATAACTTTGGGGTCAGGGTAGAAGAGTCCCCACAACATGAACCCAGCACTTCCATAGCCCACCCACCTTACGTTAGATTTTGGCTCCTTGCTGCTAACTGCAAAAGGGAAGCAGAAGTTAAAAAATATCTTGTAATGGGTAGGAGAATGGGGCCTGGGAAGCACATCTGGAGAGAAAGAATAAATCAAATGCTTCTTGAAACTGCTGAGCAGTATTTCCCAAATATGGGCACTTGTTAAAAACACAAATTCCTGTGCCACACCCTACACATATTGACTCAGAGTTTCTAAAGGTAGGCCCCAAGAATCACTGCTGGCAATCATAATTATCAGCCAGTTTGGAAAATACTATAAATATCTGTGGGAAAAAATCTAGAAGACCCCATAGAGCACAATACTCACTAGGCCCAGACTGAGAAAGTACAACCTGACTCCCATAGCTCTCACATGTGGTTTTCAGTTTAAATAATTGTGGGCATCTTCACTGGTAGATTATTAGAAGGATGACTAGCATATTAATGCACTAAACAATTTAGATTCAATAAAACTGCTGAGATTACTGACACTGAAGAAGAGAATGACTTAATTTATCTTCCATTATACCCTCCAAGATGTAAAATTATTTCTTTTCATGCTGCCAGAACAAGTTGACTCCATTTAGTGTTGCCCAGGACCATACAATTTATTAAATGACACTTGGAAGCCTTCATAAAAGTGATTAGTATGTGTGCACTAAGAGCTCTGAGTACAGTCATTTTTCAGATAATCTATTATTTCTGCACTCAGAGAACTGACTGTGTGTGTGCTCACACATGCATGAATGTGTGCACATGAGCTTTTTGAAGAACGGTCCTTTCTTTTCCAACAGAAACACAGAATATTAGAGAATTAGAGTTGGTGATACCATCCAGTCCCATGGCTTTAAGTGCTGTCAGATTCTTATATCCAACTGTTTTACATCTATATTTACTTTAATAGTCATCTAAAATTTACAAGATTAAAACTGAACTTAGGATCTTTCCCCTGGATCTCCCATTGTTTTTCCCATCTCAGCTGATGACAACTCCTTTTCTCCAGTTACTCAGTCATCCTTAATTCTTGTTTCTCTCCCAAAACACATCCAAATCCATTAACCAAACCTTTCTACTTCCCTTTTAAAATATACCCAAAAAACACCCCCTTCTCAATACCTTCACTGTAAACATCCCAAGCCACTATCATCTCTGGATAAGTGTAGGAGCCTTCTAACTAGTCCTCTTTACTTCTACACCTTCCCCTCTTCTGTCTACTTTAAACACAGCAGCTGAAGGGTTCTTTTTGTTTGTTTAATTTTTATCATGAAAAATTTCAAACTAATACAAAAGAAAGAATAATATAATAAAACCCCTGTACTTATCATCCCACTTCAACAGTTCTTGACACGTGGTCATTTGTGTTTGATCTATAATCCCATCTAATTTCTCCCCACCTCAAAGGACAGTGGGGTAAAGAGAAACCCTCTAATGACTTCTTGTTTTTGAGACAGAGTCTCACTTTGTTGCTCAGGCTAGAGTGAGTGCCTTTGCGTCAGCCTAGCTCACAGCAACCTCAGTCTCCTGTGGCGATCTTACTGCCTCAGCCTCCCAAGTAGCTGGGACTACAGGCATGTGCCACCATGCCCAGCTAATATTTTGTATATATATTTTTAGTTGGTCAATTAATTTCTTTCTATTTTTAGTAGAGACGGGTCTTGCTCAGGCTGGTTTTGAACTCCTGACCTTGAGCGATCCGCCCATCTCGGCCTCCCAGAGTGCTAGGATTACAGGTGTGAGCCACTGCACCTGGCCTCTAATGACTTATCTCATTCAAAATGAAATCCAGAATCCTTTCAGTGGCATGCACGTGCTCTTATTCTCCATCTTGGTTACTTTTCCCAGAAACATTAGCCTCCTGGCTTTCTTCCAACAACTTGGATATTTCTGCCCCCCATGGCCTTTGTATAATACCTGTTACCTGGAATGCACCCCCCACCCCCAGATATTCCCCTGGCATTCACATCATCCCTTCCTTCAGGGTTTTTTGTTTTTTGTTTTTTTTAAACAAGATCTCGCTCTGTTGCCCAGGCTAGAGTGCAAAAGTCATCACAGCTATAGGCACATGCCAGCACAACTGGCTCATTTTTTCTATTTTTTTGTAGAGACAGGGGTCTTGTTATATTGCCTCAGGCTGGTCTCAAACTCCTGGCCTCAAGTGATCTTCCCACCTTGGCCTCCCAAAGTGCTAGGATTACAGGAGTGACCTTCAGGTCTTTAACTTGTTAAGTTTAGCTTAAAGCTGCTTCCTTCCATATTTTAAGTTCAGCCTAAAGGTTTCTCCATACATCGTGAACTGTAACCTAACTGGATGTGTAAACGGACTGTAACCTGCTCTTGTACCAATTACAGAGTTTCAGCCGATCACAGGTGGCCAACTGTTAAATTGTGTACAAATGAGGCAAACACTGAGCTGTAACCAACTCAGCTGTTTCTGTACCTCACTTCCATCTTCTACACATTGTTTCCTTTTTCTGTGCATAAATGTTATCTGACCATGGGGTAGCCCCAGAGTTGCTCTGAACCTATTTTGGTTCCACCCAACTAGTGATCGTGATCATACATTGTTCAATTAAGCTGTTAAATTTAATTTGTCTGAAGCTTTCTTTTAACAACCTGTAGAGTTTCCTACCACCTGGTTTTGCTGACTGCCTACACATGGCAAAGTTCAAATGTTCCTCTGCCCTACAAATTGGTTGAGATTCATACTTTAAAAGCCTGCACTGTCCACTCCCTGGCTACTCACCCTTCTATACATATGCAGACTTCCATATAATGACTTATACCTAACAAAATGCAACTATCTTTTGTAAAACGACACTCTCACCCTTTTTCTGCATTGAATGCTAGGCTCCCCATTGCACTTAGACCAACTGGTCACCAACAAATACTTGTTTAAAGAACGAACTCATCCAATCCTGCCTGAAGGTCAAAGCAAATCATCGGTAGGCCAGGATGAGGACTCTGAATTTTATTCGTACTGTTGCACTATAACTTTGTAAGACTTAAATAAATGTTTTTAATTATTAAAATTTTAACCAAATAAAAATTGGTTGTGAATGCACTTGACACTGCAGTGTGCAGTTTAAAATGGTTAGAACGCCAAGTCACATCTCATGTGGACTTACTATAATAACAACAAATTGGGCTTTTTGGGAGGCCAGAATTTTGCATTTGACCTCCCTTGGGCTTGGAGGCTCTCTCTGTCCCACCTGCACCTCAGGGATCCAGGTGCAGACAAAGAGTCGGTGGCTTGAGGCCGGCCAGGTCCCTCTCCGCATCTGTACCTCAGGGGATACTGCCAGACTATCAGCCTTGGGTGTTTATTCACCAATACATTCATTCAGGTTCTAACTTACCACTGCCCTACCCCAATACCCACAGGAAGTCTCGCGCAGCGGCTCGGAAGCACTAGAATTCAGGCGCCAGGTCATCCTTCCCTACATCCTCTGGGTGCGCGGTGTCTTCTGGGAGTGGTGGGGCGGGCCCTCCTGGAGGTTCGCACTGCGCCTGCGCGGCTCTCTACCCTTCTTTTTTCATCCTACCCGGTTTTCTGCCCTGCTTTTTCATACTGCCCCAGTGCTGGGGATGTGAGGTCAGGGGGAAACTAAAGCCGAACTCTGACTCTTACGCCCTTTCGATCTTGTCCCTCCAGGGCTCTCTGATTCCTTTCTTATGTCACTGGCCTCCCCTTAGGCTTTAGAGCACGGAGGCCAGCCCCATCCCTTGCAGTGGCCCTTCCTCCCCATCACCTAGGCCCGTCCTGGGACTCCCTGGCTGCTTTCCTAAGGATTCTCAGCGCAAGCAATCCCCTCAACTAGGAAGCTCAGGCTTCAAAATGTGGTTCAAAATATTCTGAACACTTCCCCAAAAGAGGAGTCTTAGTATCCTTCATATCCATGATTGAGAAACCCATTGTGATCAAATATGATCTTTAAGAGAACAAACCATAAATTATCACACCGCATGGGAGGTTAAAGTCCTCCACAGCAGTTCTGTAGATTTCACCATCTTCATGCTCTTCTTGTGAACAGCCAGTTTGTATTCTGTGCTGCATCAGCCCTTTCATATCATAAACTTGGTAGAAGTTTGTTACAGAATAAACACAACAGCAAATTCTAAAATCCCATTGTTTTTAATTGTTTTTAATAACACTAAGAGTTAACATTTTGAAAGCATTGGATGTGGCAAGAATGATAAGTGGTTTACACGCATTGTCTCATTAAATTTTTAACGGAATTTCAACTAATAAATCAGAAAGCATCTTCAGTTACTTCAAAGGGATCGGTTAAGGTAAAAAAAAATCTCAGATTTCTGGAGTAAAGGCAGTGGTCTTAAGAAAAATAGAAGGAAAGTAATGAAGTCATTAGAGAAAATTTTTAATTTTTTTTTTTTTTTTTGAGACAGAGTCTCGCTTTGTTGCCCAGGCTACAGTGAGTGCCGTGGCGTTAGTCTAGCTCACAGCAACCTCGAACTCCTGGGCTAAAGTGATCCTCCTGCCTCAGCCTCCTGAGTAGCTGGGACTACAGGCATGTGCCACAATGCCCGGCTAATTTTTTTCTATATATATTAGTTAGCCAATTAATTTCTTTCTATTTATAGTAGAGACAGGTCTCGCTCTTGTTCAGGCTGGTTTTGAACTCCTGATCTGGAGCAATCCGCCCGCCTCTGCCTCCTAGAGTGCTAGGATTATAGGCATGAGCCACCACGCCCGGCCTTAGAGAATTTTTAATAAAATGTGTATTAGAAGAGGATTTCAATAAGGCATATGACAAGTAATATCATAATGTTATTGATTGGGGTACAGGAAATATTTAACTCTGCGAACAAGTTATCTGGTTCCAGGTAGCATGCTCTCATCAAGATGAAATTAAGCAGAGATGAATGTAAATTCCTACACTTAGGGCCAAAAACAAAAACAAACAAGCAAAAAAATAAAAACAAACCAAAAAACACACAGCATTCTGCCCTGATGAAAGAATTATGAGAGTTAGCATATATGGAAGAAAACACTTATGTTTTCAGATGAGAATAGACTAAGAGTAGCGAACATTTATTGAGCGATTATACTTTTTCAGATTCTGTTATGTGCTACATACACTAGCTCATTTAGTCCTCACAACTAATTCTATGAGGTAGTAGATAATATTATTATCTCTATTTTAGTGATGAGGAAAGTGAAGCTTAAAGAAGTAGCATAGCATAGTAGTAGAGATAAAGTGATGATGCCATGATTTAAGTTCAAGCAGTCTAACTCCAGAGTCAGTGCTTTTCAGCATTCAATAGTACTTCTCACCAAATAAATAACTATATAAATAAAAGGAATAATCAATGTAATGTGGCCAGGAGAAAAATACTAGGCCATATAAAATGATGTCCAAACAAGAGAGGTTATATTCCTCCCCTGCTCTGATGGTAAGGATGGACATAATATACTGATGTCAGCCAAGATTCCACAGGTTCTTAAAAACTCGATAAGATTTGTTTGAATCTACAGTCCACACCACATGGAAGGTTGAAGTCCTCCACAGCAGTTCTGTACATTACACCATCTTGAGGCTCTTCTTGTGCACGGCCTGTTTGTATTCTGTGCTGCATCAACCCTTTCTTCAATTCACAAAACATACAACCTGACCCAAAGCTTTCCAGGATATCATAAACTTGGTAGAGGTTTGCTACAGAATAAACACAGCAGCAGATTCTAAAATCCCATATTAGACATTTCTGCACTGAAATCCCTTTAGGCAGGAAAAAAATATCAGGACTTTCCTCTGGGTATGCTGCCTCTCCATACTTCTACCTTCCCTCTTAAACTACAAATTTTCCTTCCTTTATTATGGAGAGCAATCAACTCTTCCCAAAGTGCAAGAGTTTTGCTTTCCAGTTTGAGTCTTTGTTACATTAGGCATAATAAGTATGTCCGTCTCTGGTGGCTAGACCAGTAGTATTCAACTAAGGCCAGTTTTGCCCCCCGCCCCTGCCCAGAGGACATTTGTAGACATTTTTGGTTATTACACTGGGGGAAGAGGGTTACTACTGGCATGTAGTGTTTAAAGGTCAAAGATGCTGCTAAAACAACATACAATGCACAGGACTGTCCCTCGCAACAAGGAATTTATAAAATCCAAGATGTCAATAGTTCCAACATGAGGAACTCTGGGCCACTGATGAACAGACGCTTTGTAAGATGCTAGGCTATAAGGACAATGGACACCTTCCAGCTTGTTTACTGCTTGTTTGCTAACCGCAAGGCATTATGAGTACATTATGGGATGCAGAGGAAAAAGACAAAGAACGTGGACAAAGAACAGCTAGGACCCGGAACAGGTTAGAGCCTATCAGGGGCAGGATGAAGTAAGAATCCCTGTGGGGGCGGATGCATGACCAGTATGTAAACAACCGAGTTATAAAAAGGGGGCTAACACACAAAGGGGGGTCCCTGCCCGGAGAAGAGGCCACTGCGATGGCACTCTGGGGGCTCGGACCCTAGCTCGAGGTAGACAATAAAACTCCTTTTGATAATTACAGCCTCGGTGACTCTGTCTTTCTGTCCTGCGGCCTTGTGAATCTCAAATATAACAGCTTCTCCAGAGGAAATTCAAAGATGATAATGAAAGAACTTGAAATTTACCAAAAGAGGAATGGCTGCAGGAGCCATAAATGTTTGACATGGAGAAGGGAGAAACTTCGCAGAGCATGAGAACAGCTTGTGAAAATTGGAAGCCAGTCAAGAAGCAAGCCTGACCACAGAGAGAGGGTGGTACTTACCCAATGGCAAATTTCATCTGGATATAGGAAAGACTATCCTAACAAGGTTATCTGAAAATAAAATGGGCTTCTTATCTAATCTTTCTATTGTATATGAAGAGACTGGGTGGTGCTTTGTCAAGGATGTGGTAGAGGACAGTGAAGTATTAAGTAGATCCATATGAAATTTCTATTTTTTTTTTACCAACAATGGTCACATATCTGCAATTTCTTAGGACTCAGGCTAATGTTATCTAAGATTTTTTTCACTCTAGTATTCAGTAGGGTGCAATGATATCTACAGGAACTTTCAACTGAAAGCTGGCCAGGATTCCTGGTTATTTATTAAGCATAGCAATAGGATCACTCGAGGGTGGCACCTCAGAGTCTTGAGCCTGTCTTTCCTTCTGGTCTATTTATATTTATGTTCTTAGATAATTTTAGCATTTTGGAGAATTATTTTCTCCCATGGGTACCTGTCCTGAGATAGCATGCCAGGATATACCTCTGTTCAGAGAAAGCTTCTGGTTCTATGCAAGAAAATTGGTCCTTAGATTTGTGTGATGCTAAGAGACCAAATTGTTGACCTCCCTTCCCCTTTTTCTTTGGGTTGCTGAGTTCTTATATATTCTTAAGCCTCTGATATGGTAACATAAGCTGTAAGAATTAATACCCAGTTCACTGAAATGAAAATTGAAGCTTTCCCCCTCTCACCCATGTTTTTATTATGAAAAATTTTAAATATGAAGGGGGGTTGAAAGAATAGTACAATAATCACCCATATGCCTACCATTTATATTCAGCAATTTTTTTTTTACATTTTGTCATTTAAAAATCTATTTTAAATGTATGTTTGTGTAGATATATTTTTATTTGCTAAATCATTTGGAAATAAGTTGCAGATAGCATATCAATTTTTCTCTTCAGCATATATCTCCTGAAAATAAGAAAACTGTAAATAAATTACCACTGAAACATTATTTTAAGAATCAAATATTACTTCATTGAAGGAATGAATAACCATTTGGAACAAGTGGAATTTTATTTGCACACCGTGAAATTATTACCTGTAAAATTATATTATGTTTGGTGCTTTTTATAGTCTGATAAAGTCATCTTATTTAAAAAGCTAAATCACAAAGAGTTATGGGAAGAAATAACATACATATGTGAAGGTTAAGAACTGAACTAGTATTCTTTAATAATTAATTGATTGCTTAATTGATTGTTGCTTAATTGATTATTAATTGATTATTTTTAAATAATCAAAAGTTCGGTAGAGAAGTTATATTGATGGTGTTCAGGAATGCTACCCCAAAACGTAGCACTGTGGCATTTGAGAAAACTGCAGAAGCAAGAGGATCTCTCTGACTTTCTCCTGCCCTTCCCCCTGAAACAGGCTATAAAATAATCCTCTGACCTCTCTCTAAAGTAGGAAGTAAACCCTTATGTGAGAGATTCCCATTATATACCTGGAAGAAAGGAATGTCCTTATTGCTGAGAGCCAAGAACATAGAGAAGAATTTGATTAAATGGAACTTGTTAATTTACCCCCAGTTTATTACCATCAGACCACACCCTTTTTGTCCAATCATACTTCTCCATGACTGTCTACTCTTCATCAACCTAAGCATAATAATACACAAGTCTCCCTGCTTTTTTGGGGTCTTCATTTCTGAAGGCTCCCTTGTAA